TCTAAGACATCAGACAGAGGTCACATTTAGCAGGGAAAATCTTCTTCTGAATGCACTTGTTAGTTTGATGCTTTTCTTTCCACATAGTGAACAAAAGGAGGGAACAATCAAAATTCTTCAAAAACTAAATAACATTATGACAGGTTATAATATCGTAATACTTAACTGGTATATTACAGCTTTCTGAATCATTGAGCCTTGAGGTATTTATGTGCACTAGCAGAAAAGTACCTCACAAAAAGAAAAATGCCAAAGAACATTACCATATTACTGAATGCATCAGGGACACTATTATTTCCTGAAAAAGGCCAGTGTATGTGAAAAAGTACCATCAAGAAAATGTATCTGTGATGATGCTGGAGCAATAATAGCTATGGCAACTACACTTTTTCACTATCAGCTGAGTAATATTCTGCATTTATATTGCAAACAAAGCCGCAGGATAGGCTTACAAGATTGGATGTTGTTCATTAATGGAAAAATTGAACACAGGATTTTTTTTTCTTTCTTCACAAGCTTGTGAAACAGGGTGGGAACAGAAGTAAAATCTACTTTACAGTCTCACCATTTTACATACAAAAATTTAAACGTTTGTCCTTGGAGGCATTAGAAGGCATTCCACCTTAGCAGTTCTTCAGGAGAGGAGGAAGAAATGTGAAGCTCCTTCTAATGCACAGCCCTAAGAAGGAGACAAAGGTCACAGAATGACCTTTGTCTGTTTTCATAATCAAAAACCTATTCCTAATTTCTACACATAGCACTAAGTAGTAATATTTCAGAACCATCATTCATCCCCATGGTAACATCCTCTGATATTACAAGCAGTTAATTATGTCGTTGCCGTATGGTAAGCTGTGTGGTTTATTTACAGATGGAGATAAACATTTAATGAAAGCATCTTTGCATATATGAACAAAATCAAAACTGCTGTTCTGTCCCTCTGGTCTTTCTTCATGCTCTATGCAAAGAAAATGCAGTTATTAGCAGATATCTGCTGAAACCCACAGAAATACAATGCTCCTGGTAAAGAAATGTAGTATCATTACATGGCAAAGAGGAGAATTCTGCCTGAGATTTTAATTAAGCCAAAATATTTTCTAAAAAGACACCACATGAAAATACACTTAGTATAATTGGATTTGCTATAAATTACTAGGGATTCAAAACAGAATAGATGGCTTTGATCATTAATCAATAGATTACTTTGATCATTTCTGAGCTACAACACATGACATCTCTGTCATGAAGTAACTGCCCCTGACTGTCATCAGGATACTCCCCGTAACGGAAAGACTCTGAGAAAAGATGACCAAAAAATTCTGAATTGTTTCACTGGAAACCACAGAAAAAACATTCTATAATTATCTGACACTCTGATTTATAGTACCAATTAAATAATTCTGTGGTGAATGGTCGCTGGATATGCATTTTTATAAGCTTGAATTAATATTGTTTTGTTAAAAAGTGACCTGCAAATGTAACACAGTCAATACAGGAGAAAGAATATTGGTTGAGTAATAAAGTCCAAAAAACTCTGTTTAAAAGGTCAATCTAAAAAAATGTGTTGTTTTTTTTTTTTTAAATAAGAACCTTAAATTTTGTCAAATTTAAAAGGAAGACTAAAAATGTGATTTATTGATAATTCTTAAACATGTTCGCTAACTCTTTATTCAAGACATTGGTTCTGGAAAGCTCCTCAAATTTTACATACCTGTCTGTTTTTATCAATAATTTTCATAACTATTAAATGTATGATGGCTAAGTTTGCAGTTAAAGTGGTAGAAGAAAACAGTGTACATTGCAGACTAACCTGAATTATTCAGCTAAAAAGTCAAACGGCAAGAGAATTTTGATATAATAAAACGGAAAGAACACATATGGAAATAAACATTTCTTGATTTTACCTACTGGATAAAATCCTCTGTTTGAGGTGTATGAAACCTCTGAAGAATTCAAAAGAAGACCACGAAAATGATCGTGTCTAAAAAGCAACCCATATAAAATGAATCTTAAAGTGTCCTACCTAGCTGAGACAGTGTTGAGGGGTTACTTAATCACCGAGTATAGGTAAGTTAAATGAGGATTTTCAACCTTGCTATCAAGAATGCTAGCAGAGCCACAAGCTGGATGATGAAGTCAGAAAAACTCAATCTCACAGGAAGAAGTAATATCCTTGAAATTAAGTGCCCTGACAGATTACAAGAGAAGTGATATAACTCATAATTATCTGCTCTGTGGTCTCTGAAATGAAGCAATTTTCATGGGCAAGAGACACGTGGAGGAGAATCAGGCCAGGTGCAGCAGCAGCCTTCACTAGCTTTCCCCTTAACCCAGAAATGACCAGATATGCTCTGAGTTTTATTTTGTGGCCATTCCCTGAAGCCTTGAGCAGCAAATGGACACTGAAGATAATCTTCAGCGGGTGCTCTGTGATGCTATAGAGAATTCATTTTCTTGGACAGCTTGCTGGCAAGTGCTACTCAGATCACCGGGATGAATGCGATGGACAGACTTCAGGTCAGAAGGAATTTTGCACAGGTCATATTGGCAAGAGCCTTGGTGTTTTTTTTCCTGCCTTCCCATGGATTATCTGCTGGCTGATTTGGGGATATCTAACCTCATCAGTTTGCTACAAGTGCAGAAGCCGTGCAGGTTGGTGGTATCAGTCTCCCTCGTGCTCTGTTTATTGCGCTTAACTGTTAATCTCTATAGGATTGAAATGCATTAGTGTAACCCAAATTTACAAAGTTAATAGCCCATGATGTTGACAAGATGTGCAGGAATATTGTGAAGACGTACAGGGAGTGGGACTCAGAAGAAACGAGGCTGCAAGGCTCTGAGAGCGCTGCAGGGGTGCCACGATGCACCCAGCGCACCCTCGCCACCAAAGCTGTATAGGGGATGGCTTTCCCTCTCCTGTGAGGGTTACAAATGGCTCCAAGATGCTCTCGGGAGACTACTGGCCCTGAACGTTTTCATTTCTAATATGTTTGGGAGAAGGAGTTTAACATCTGGATATTATCACAAATCTTTTGCTTTCCTTTCATGGATACAGTGCCAAAAGGTGGACTACTTCAAGCATCTCTGTCTGGGTTTATTCTGATCTCTAGTCCAGAGCCATAGCTGGTGAAATGCAAAAGCTTGTACTTAAACTGATACCCCTGCTAAACACTTGTCCTAGTTTTAGCTGGGACAGAGTTTTTAACAGCTAGAAGAGCTCCGTGTTTTGGTTTTACTCAGAGGCTCACTCTGAGAAGAATGCTGATAGCAAGTTGATGTTTGAGACTCCAAGGACTTTTCAGTGTGTCGGAGTGCAGAAACACGGCAGGATAAGGGGGGAGCATAGTTGGGTCAAGGGGGACACGATTCCCCTTGTGATTTGTGGTGGAACTTAAGATTGAGGGCCAAACTGGCCAATTAGTATTCCATATCACGCAACGTCATTCCCAGTATAAAGGTGAGGGTCAGCCGGACAGAAGGGCTTTTGCGCTTTGGCTCTTTCGCCGCGTCTGCTCTTCTGCGCTTGCTGCGCTTTTGCTCTGTTGCCTTTTTTTTTCTCTCTCTCCCAGTACTCCCACTCTCGGAGTACTATCTCTCTCTCTCTCTGCCCCTCTCTATTTCGGGGCCTCGCGTTCGTCCGGGATTGCAGCTTCGGGACGAGACGGGCTTCACATACGAGGGGGTGGTGAGCACCTACACTGTGTATTAAACCATCTGTATTAAATTGTTCTTATCTCAACCCACGGGTTTCCCGTTTCTTCTTTAATTCTCTCCCTCATTCCTGGGGGTGGGGGAGGGTGAGTGACCGACTGCGTGGGAGGGTCAGCCTAACCCACGACAACACTCCTCATCTTCTTTGCTAAAGGAAAGAAACTTCAGTTTTTCTTCTTGACACAGTAATCTTTCCCCCATCATTTCAGTATATAATAATTTATCCCTTGCACTTGCTTCTAGTCTTATCATTGCTCATGTACCCTCACAGAAGGAATATACCACAATAAAGCTGTTGGGGTTAGAGGTTTACACTTGGCTTTTGAAGGCTGTGATTCCAAACTTTCAAATAACATGGTATTTATAGCTTTTCCTAGGCTCATAACAGCGGCTACTAAAACACTCGCATAAAAGAAAATGAAAATACAAGTATAATATGGCTTTCACCTCCGATTTTTTTGACCTGGCAAACTTAGGTGTCACATACTTCATTCTACCCGCTGAAATACTCAACTTTAAATTATTTTGCTTAGATTGTGATGTTGGAGGCAACGAATAAACCTCAAAATTATTGCAGTTGTGCCCTGATTTCTTAATAACAGGGCTTTTTCACATTGGACTTCAGTCCAACAGTTTATAAACCGCCGTTTTTATCAAAACATAGCTAAGTATATTTACACCTGAATTGATTGAAGCTTTTTGTTTACTTTCTCTGATTTGTCTTGGCAATGTATGTCAAAGTTTAGATTGGAGTCTTTGCGGATTCTGTTCCCAATGTATTGACTACTCCTTTAACATGGAGTTTACCTTCTAAAGAATCTTGCTCCTGATCTGAGCAAAATATTACACAACAGTCAGCCTACCATAATCCATTTTTTACATACTGAAGGTGATCAGCATAGATTGTGCAGATTTAATGAAAGCATATGAATTTATGCAACTACCACTGCATGCATCAAGTGTCATTCTTGGACTGTTGAACCGCAAACGGGCTTACATGTGAGCTTCAGCATGTCTCATATAGTACAAGAAATCTTGGGAACAGACAAAGGTCATCTGTGCCAAAATGCCTCTATTTTTTTTTTAGCATCATCAGTGGTGAATGTACTCCCAAGTTTAAAAGTTGACAGTATAAAGATACAGTGGTTGTCAGCATCTGACAAAACAACTGGATACATCAATTAAATTTTCTTTGTGACTTAAAAGATAATATACACTGTACTACAAAAATATTATTTTAGTTCTAATACAAACAAGATTTACAGGTTAATGTAGGGTACTGCACTTACCAAGATGTGTGTTCATCATCTTCGCGCAATATTTGCACATGGCTTCCAAGTCATTCAGTTGTCCTTGTAGGAATGAGATCTGGGCCTCCAATTCCTCCTCCTGCAATTAAGAGATTATTAGCATTAAGAAACACCTTTTTATGATACACAGTAAATTTGGGAAGCTAACCCTTGACATGCTTAGACATCTTGTAATTTTTCCTACTTCTTTGTTCTTGAGAAAATTTTGGAAATAAAGAGAATCACCTTCAATCTGTATTTATTAAAAGAGTTTAAAATTCTTTTGTCATTTAATGGAAATAAGGTTTGGTTTTAATGTTGCAGTTATTAATACCACTCTTTTACCTTCTAAAGAATCTAATAAAAATTGTCTACACTCATGCAAGAAAGGTTAACAATTCATATTTCTTTTACAGGCTAGCTACTTGGTTTTGCTTGTGCAAACACAGCATCACAGCCACAGCTGAAAAAACTCACCAAATGAGAAAAATTCCTATTTCTGGCAGAGTAATTTTCAATTCCTTTGAAACCTCAGAAAAATTCTTCTCTTCTTTTTTTTTTATTTCAAGGCGTATATTTAATGAGACCTAATGCCATACCTCAAGGATGCATTATGGCCATATATGCATTACGCCATATATGTTGGCGTATTTATTCATGTACCACATTGTGCTCTACTTGAATAAAGCCCCTGTACTTTTATGCCCAGCCAACTGCACTTCCACACAATGTCTTACGTAATATTTAGGTGAAAACTATTTTCAACTCACATACTATAAAGAAGTTACCTCAAATTATCAAGTTATGTTTAATAAATATGCATCGTGTAATTTAAAAAAAATATTCATGATTTTAAGGCCTGGGAGAAGCATTATTATCTAGTCATATGCCCTGTCTAAGAAATGGGAACTAGCTCGGTTAAGAATTTTTCTTTGAACTCCTTTCTTTGCCAGTTAACAAATGCATCTAGTCTTTACTTTAAAGACCATACTGCAGAGAAAGTTCACCGCTCCTTTAGAAAAATTCCTTCAAAGTTTAGTCACATATAGTATTAAGCAGTTTTTTGTTTAAATATGTGCTGGAATTCAAGTAGATAAAAGTAAAATAACGTTTTAGCCTGCTGTTTTTCTCAGGAGTTTTGCAGTTTTATCATACTCTTGTTTGATGGAGATTGCTGAACATTAGAGTGTGAATTACATTTCAAATGAAAAAAATTCCAAAACTGATCAGCAAGAATAAAGACAATGAATGAATCTTGATTTAAATGTACAAGTGATCTCAATCTCCATCAGAAACTGAGTGAGAGCCAAGCAAAGGAAACTTTGCACTAATATAGCACATATCCAAAATCAACTGATAAATAAAAAGAAATTTAACAGTAGAATTTTGCAAGATCTAGCAATATCACCTTCTCCCTACTCACTTTTTCCTCACATTTACAGTCTACAGACATTAAACATTTTTTTCTTTGCAATTTCCTTATATTAATAAACCTTCACCTCATTTTACTTAACCTTTTACTTTGACCACTTAAGCCTCAAAAGGATTGATTTTATATTGCCAATTTATAGTTGCTGAAAGAGTAACCTCATTCGCAGTCTGCACTTCTGTCACAGCCTATAGAAGCATATCTGCTTTGATATTTCTATTCAAGCAACGTCCCTGCAGAAGACCTTTTCCTAGAAACAATCCACCATAAATCTTAAATTGCCATTGCACTGCAACTGCAGCTACAAGATAGGGAAAGGTGACAATATTTGAGTTTTTACTACAAAATAACATAATCAAATTCTAAAATCGTTAGCCAGTAATTGAAACCCAGCTTATCGCCTACAAGAGAGTAAGAAAATTTAACTTCTGGTAATAAGTATTTTCATGTTTCCCAGACTATTTTTTCCTCTTCATGAATCAGAACTTCAGTAAATTTATTTTAAAATGCTTTTGGACAGCTCTATCCACTTGAGCAGATTCTGAAACTAACCTTTTCAACTATGCAACAGTACCTCTTCATTTGGCAAGTGAGACTGGTGCTGAGTAAACTACATCCACCGCTCTTTCACCTTGTTCGGATGCAGCATGGGGAGCAGAAACGTTCAGCAGATCCAGCACTCACAAAGGAGGGTATTCTGGCTGGGAACTCAGAGGCAGTGCAAGAAGTTTCCTGCCAAGTGGGAAATCTTGCACAAGGCTGAAGGAGGGCACTTGGAGTTCCTGACTTACCTGGCACCCTCAGGAAGGGCACCAGGAGCGCTGCCAGCAGGATGTGCAAATAAGCAAGACCGTTAACTTGGCACTCGACACACGAGAGACCCAGATGTGATGTGTGCACAGGAAGACAACACCCAAATGCTAATGACTTGCTACCAGACATAACTCCTGCTCCTACTGTCACCCGTGGTGCTGTGGCATCCTCTGTGCGGATGGACTCCAGAGGGTGACCTCCCCTGGAGGAAGGATTGCTCTGTTGTAGTTGCCACAGGGGCAGGTGAGGAACTACAAGAAGAGGCAAGTGTGTTTTGTTGCACCAGGGATGACAAAACAGGAGATTGATAGGATCTTTTAATGTGTAAAAGCTTATGCAACAGACAGGGAAGGTGCAACCGAGGCAAGATGCAGTGGGAAGAAGACATGCGCTCCTAAGAAGGTGGAAACTGGAAGCTTGTGGCTTCTGGCAGCAGGACTGACCAGGGGCGCAGGGCCCAGGCACCAGAGGGGAAGAACAAGCTTCTTCAGAAGAATCCAGGTTGGACATTGTATCAGAGTGCTACCAAGACAAAGCAATGAGTTACAGTGAGTAGCTGGTGACTCTCTTCTATCCAGACCCATCAACTACGGAGGTTTGTTGCTTGCCTGGAGCCTTAATTTATGTTGCAGAAAGACCATTTGGGGGTCACCTAATGTTCTGACTTTTTTCTGACAATGACATGGTGATGTGAAACCACTTCAATTCAGAAGTGACCGTACGGCTCTTGGGCAATGGCAAAGGGGACAGGAATCCTGGTGGTGTTTCTCTTTAATCCTATGGCAAAAGGGAAAAGTGTGGATAGCAGCAGATGTATCAAGTAGACCACATATGGCTACATATTTGGTGGCACTAAATGGGCTTCAACTATTTTGCTTGTGGCACCTCATTTGATGAGGAAAGACAACTTAGAGAATAGATCCATGTGGCAAAGAGATGGAAGAACACCTTTGTGAACAGGTTTGATAATCTAGTGGGGACAACCTCATTTGTCGTAGAACAGGAACTTAACCTAGAAATACATGAGTAAGCAGCACATATGGAGAAGGTATGCAGAAGGTCTGCTTGCCTGAATAAGGAGCTTCTTAATGAACTAAAATGGGAAAAGCACTTATGGAGATGGAAATGGTGGAAACAGAGAGTACACATGTGGAAACAAAGGCAGGAAACAAAGGACAAGGACACAATCACTGTTTGGGCAGAGGAACAAAACTAGGACGGACAAAACCCACCTGGAGCTAAAATTAATGGCGGACACTAAAGGTAACACAGAGAGATTTTACAAGTACAAGAGCAGTAAAAGGAAGTTCAAAGAAAATGTAGGTCTATTGCTTACTAGGGGAGATAAGATAATGACAGATGATATAGAAAAAGCTGCAGCATTCCATACGATTTCTGCCTCTCATTTTTTTTTGGCAAAATCTGCTCCCAGACTTCTGCATGTACAGATCGGGATGGAGAGGGATGGCTAAGAGTTGGGGAGTAATAGGTTGGTGAATACCTGAAGAAGTAGTATGTGTTCAAATACATGGGGCCACATGGGATATGCCCATGGGTGCTGAAAGAGCTGATTCTGTGATTGCAATACCAGTGGCTATCGTCCATGAAAACCCACTGCTATTACAGGACATTGTTGATGACTGGCGAAAGATTAAATTTACATTCATACTAAAGAAAAGTGAGAAAGAGGATCTAAGAAACTATATGATGGTTGGCCTCACCTTAGTCCTTGAAAAATCATGGAGCATGTCCTCTTGGAATTAATTTCCAACATGTAAAGGACAAGACAATAATCAAGAAAATTCAACAAGGATTTACCAAAAGCAAATAATGCTTGACCAATGTGTCTGCCCACTATGATGAAATGAATGGCCACACAGATGGAGAGGAGTGAATGCAATATATTTTTACTTTACTTACACTTTTGACACTTATTTCCAAAAGTATCATCATTTATAATACGAGAATGTATGGACTGAATGAAAGGATTGCAGGTGTGCTGAAAATTGGTCAGACTCCAAGCTCAAAGAGTAGAGTTAATGGTTTGGTGTCCAGTCAGTGGTTGGAAACGAGCACAAGAACAAATGAACTGCTGTGAAGATACTGTTCAGTATCTTCGTCAACAGCCCGTATGAGGAGACTGAATGTACACTCAGTAGATTTTCAGATGATGCAAAATTGGGAGATGTGTCTGCTGTGCTAACTGGTAGAACTTCAATTCAGAAACACCATGAGACACTGGAAGCCCAAGGCAAAAGAAATCTTTTTGAAGTTCCTGTTTCAGATAATTCAGTAAGAGCAAAATTCTGCACCTGGGGAGAAAAAAACCAATGCCTCAGTACAAGCAAGGAAGGAACTTGCTATTTTTCAGGCCTGCTGAAAATGATCTGGAGGCTACAGTGGCTGTGGAGTTGAACATGAACTAACGAAGTGCTCTCATCATGAATAGTTTAAACAATGCGCTAGGCTACATATAGGAGGAATATGCTCAGCAGATCCAGGAAAGTAACTACCTGCCTCTGCTCAGTGCTTGTGAGCCCTCACTTTGAATAATGTTTGGGGCTCCAGTTCAAGAAGGATGTTGAGAAACCGGAGAGGGCCTGGTGCAGGGCTACTATGATTGTTACAGGTCTAGAGGACAGGCTGAGGGAGTTTGTTCATTTTGGTGATCTGCTGGGAGCCTGCAACTCCATGGAGCTACAAAGATGATGTAATCCAACTCCTCCCAGCAGTGGCAGATGATATAGAAGGGACTATGGCCAAAAATTGCCCCTCAGAAGGTTCAAATTGGCCGTTAGGAAAATATTCTTCATTAGAAGAGCAGTGCAGTCCTGGAAAAGGTTACTCATAGAAGTGGC